TGCTTAGGGCCTTTCTGAGTTGATGAAGCCGACTTTGAATTTGTGATCCTCCTGCCTCACCTCCCAAGTGGCTGGAATTACAGGTGTGCATTACCACACCCAGCTTATTTGTACAATTTTGAAGGACTGTATTCTTAGTCTTCAATGATGCTATAGAGAAGGCTACTTTTTGAGAAAGTTGCTGAGGTAAGGAAGGGGAAAGGAGGAGAAATACCAAATTCCAATAGTGCCATCTTCTGGCCATATGTAGTAAGGCACACATGACCTTTGCTCTCAAATGTGGTCATTTTTACTGCATATAACACCCAAATGTGCAAGTAACTCTTACTGGCCAGTTACAGTAATAATCACAGATTATAATCACAGCAGTGTTCTACATGGAATCCTAGGCAGAATTCAGACCGTAACTTGAGCAGGGACCACCACATGCAAATTTGAGTATGCAATACTTGACAGTCACCAAAAATACAAGTGACACGAACAAAAGGGTTGTTTGTGCCTGTGGTTCTCAGTATATTAAAATCAAAAGTCTTGTTAGCAAGCAAGTCAATGTCAATATTGCAGTAAATTCTATACCAGATTTGCTTCTCAGTGATACAGATAACAGAATTGGAGGTGTGCCCATTGAGGATACTTGTACAAACAGCAGCCAAATGAAGGTTTAAAAAAAAAATGAATCGGTAGCTGGCATCTTGCAGGGGTTTGCACTGAAAATGGCCTAAGGATATGAATTAATGGGATGATATTGGAAAAATTATATCGTTATATTGTGTGCATGTACAAATATGTAACAATAAATCCCACCTTTATGTATAACAATAATGCACCTAATTTTAAAATGGTGGGAAAAATATGAATTATTGTTTTTCCAAATATTCATGAAGTTCCAGAAGATAGAATGTTTAGAACTAAGAAAGAATCTAGTAACTAAGATGCACTGGAGAGTTTGCATACACACAGGTGGTTATAACAAAAACTTGCATGCCAAACACAATACAAGATAAATGTCAACACAAAGGTGATGTCCAAAATCAGACTTTGCCTGTCCAGGGTATATGATATCTTAATAAGACCAAGAAATCCTTTTTCTATTGTAGTCAATGCAGAGCTTTGGTCATGGGAAAACAGCAAAAATTATACAAAATGGACATAAATCATGACACAAAAGCATATGACTTTGTTTAGAAAGAGTTCTGTTTATATTTCAGTGCTATAACAGACTTCTGAGAGAAGTTATCTATTTCCTTCCTTGAGACCTTTAAAAAATGGACAGTGAAAGAGATTGCCCCAATGAATTTCTAGGGTCCAGGTCTATAATACTGTGATTTAATCCTTGGTTTTACTCAAAGAACACTAATTCTGTGTAGGATATTCTCTCCAGAAAAAAGAATCATCTGTTTAATTAGCAATGGTTAAACAACCTATCACTCACTAGCTAGGTGATTCTAAATAAGTTACCTAACCTCTCTAAACCTAATTATTTACCTGCAAGATGCTTTTTTCAAAGAATTTCATCATAATTAATGAGAAACATTTGTGATCTATGTAGCATGATGGCCAGTCCACAGCAAGTACTCAAAAGATGGAAATTATTACTGATGAGTAAATGAAAATTAAATTAAATTAAAATATCTAGTCCACAATTAGCATTCAGTACTAATGTAGAGGTAAGAATTGCAAAGGATACTTTAAAGCGAAACAGTTTCTTTATCCTTACATGGGTGGTGCCACAGCATTTTAGAAAAAAAAAAAAAAAACATTTGTTACATGACTTCAGGTAAATTGCTGAAACCCTGCTTTTCTCCTTCTTATCTGTATAATGCAAGTAGAAATGAATTAGATAACCAATTATGTTGCCTCCTTAGAGTTTTTAATTCTAGAGAATACCAGAATTTAGTACATACTAAAAATGTATGCACTATATAAAACTCCAGCTATGAACTAAGAAATAATCAGTTAGCAATGGTATACATTTATTAAAAGCTTAAAATTCATAATGGATCTACAGTACAAGCATCACAAACATAAAAGTTATTTAATTATTTAAGTATTAATCAAAGAACAAATAACTACTAGATAATAAATTCAAAATGAAACGAAGATATTTTATTTCTTATATGGATTCTGTTTTGTATTCAGAACAAGAAATTATTTGAGTTTCTTATTCTATGACAATCACACATACTGAGTCTAAATAATCTCATATTCCAAATTTGAGGAATACAAAGTAATGCTGTTTTACCTTGATGATTCAACAAACTTTTTTGAGCCAGCCAAATAGCAAATATTTTATGCTTACTCAGCTCTACCCTTATAGCTAAAAGCAACCAAAGAATCAATGAATGACTCCACATTCCAATAATTTTTCTTTACATACAGTGAAATTTGAGTTTCATACCATTTTAAAGTATCATTAAATACTAATATTCTTTCTATTTTTTTTAAATTTACCACTTTAAAATGTAAAAACCATTTTTCACTTGTGGACTATACAAAAACAGGCAGTTTGTGCAGAATTTAGCCCAACCCTTTTGCCAACCCTTGCTGTAGTTATATTTTATAAAAGAGAGTGGTAATGTAGGAAATCCGGAATGCCCAATTGGGGTTTTCGTTAGTCAATGTGTTGGTGTTTATTTTGCTGTATGAGCTTCATCTGCCACTCTCCTGAGGGCTTCCACTACAAACCACCCACTTTCTCCCTGACCCTGCAGCAAGGTCTGGGGTTAAGCATAGCTAAGGTAAGCCTGACACCTTGTGGTTACATTGCAAATGGCAGACACCAACCTGGAAGTTACCAGCATGACAAGTTTTGGGAAAGGATAAATCTAGGGAGGGAGAGTCCTGCAGGTTCATGGGACACTATGTGGTAATGTGGTGGTAGTGATAGTGGTAGTTGATTGTGGGTAGTTGTTGACTAAAAGAAGCAAAATCAACCCTAAAGTTCGTTATCTGTCTTCTCCCTCCAAACACAATTTCCAAATGGGGCATTTCTATCTAAAATTTAAAATATATTAAAAAAATAAAGGACCAACAACTTCCAAAGCCTCCTTCCAACTGGAGGTTCCAAAGACACTCGAGACTCCTTCCAACTGGAGGTTCCAAAGACACTCGAGACTTTCACTGGTATGGTTAAGTCTCCCACTTCCAACCATTACTATACATCCAGGAGGACAAATGGGAAAACTGGCCCCAAGTCTCCATTCCGCTCTTCTCTGATGCTCAAAAAAAGAGAACTTTCAAGGAGCTAATTACTGTTGGAAATAAGTTTTACTCGGAGAAATGGTGAATAAGGGATTTCAACAAAACAAAACCTGTGATCGAAATGTCACAACAGTCCTGAGGGAAAATGGATTACTCATTGTCTATGCAGGTCAGGTTGTCCCAGGGCTATCACACTGTTGTGTTGGAATGAAGTGTTTTTGCTCATTTTTAAAAAATAATTGAAGAGGTGACTCTTTCCATCCCCTTGTCTCTAGGAATGTTTCCTCCAAAACACCTTAGACTCAGCTTAATCCTATCCTATAAGCTGTGCAGGGTTAGGAGATTCTGCACTACACTACACAGGATGCATAGTAGATTCACACTTTTGTCTAATTCACAGCCATTTCATTTCTTTGTGTTGATGAGAAAGCAGAGTGGGGACACTTAGGGAAGGCATATTTGGCAGGGCTTCTCCCCAGATACTATAGTCACAAAAGTATTTTTGTTGCTGTAAGGGACTATCCTTTGGAGGTAAGAAGCCTGAGAATCCATGTGTTCTGGGCTTTCACAACTACCGGAAGGGATTAGGTGGGCTAAAAGAAGCAGGAATGACCTCAACTGTCCGTATCCCCAGCATAAGCAGAGAGCTGGGTAGCCGGGGGTAGGTGACCTGGCAATAGACTTAAAGGACCAGATTTTGGGGATCCCAATTAATCCTCCATGCTGTCAACTCAGAGAAAGGACATAGAGGGGCTAAGTCTAGAGCCAGTATTTAGAGAATAGGTTTCTGAACCCAATCTAAACCTGCACAATTAGAATTGGAGAGGGACACCAATGCTGAATTTTGTTGTCTTGAGACCATATCACCCCTCTTTTCCTGGGTTCCACTCTCTTCTCCAGGAAGAAGTGATGAGACAGAATGAATCAACCTCATACTGGTACCTGACCCTATGGGCAAGGCAGTAAAAGGGGACCTGTCACTTTTCCTGAAGTCCCTCAGATAATCAGCAGGATTGTATGCCAGAAGAAAAGCTGTAGTAGTGGTTGGAGTCCTGCTTCCTTTTCTAGGGATGTGCTAACTTTCCCTCTGGGGTGATTTCACTTTGCTGCTGACTTCGCTCTGGTTAACTTCCACTGTGCTGGATATCTGCCCCAGAACTCCTGGGAACACAGCTGTAAAGATTCGTAGATAACTTAAACAGATAGGGTTCACTTAGGTTACGCAGTGGTTTTAGTGGAGGGAACTATTCAAATATGACCTTTCCACCTCCGACTTGTGCTTTACAATTAAAAAGCTCTGAAATCTTCTCCTAAGACTTCTCTTTGGACAAAGGGGGATCTCCTCCGGAGTGATTGCAGGGACCTGAACACCTTCTCTCAGGCAGATCTTCCAAGGATCTATCCTGGACACCTGGCCCCACAGGATGGAGAGGCTAGGGTCTCTCCAAGGGCTTTGCCTGAAAGGCCTGTCCAGCATTGTAGGAGTTAATGTGGGTCCCCACGTGAATGGAAGGGGAAGAAGTTGGAATTGACGCTTCTCGGGGGCGAGAGGGGCGGGTCTCGCTGACTCCTGATTGGTTTTACATTTTGTCCAATTTTTTCCCCTCCTCTCTCATTCTCTCACTCCCTCTTTTCAGCTTCCTTCTCTGACCCCAGGGGAGGGGAAACGGGAATAGTGAGAGATCAAAAATAAACCTCTTATGTCAAAGCCGGGAAGGAAGTATAAATACGAAGGGCTCAGCAGCCCACTCGGTGCTTCCCGGAGAGTGGAGGAGGCAGGAGGCGGCTGCGCGGGGCGGACGCGGGGCTGGGGCGGAAGACAAGCGCACGCGGGTCGGGGCGCCAGCTGCTAGCGCTCAGCTCAGCGCGGGAGGAGCGGGCTGCGCAAGCCAGAGGGGCCGCCAGGGGACCGCGGCAGCCGCGCGCTTGTGGCCGCCTGCTGCCACTGGCCGAGTGGGCCTTGCATCTGATTGATCTTTTTCCTGGAGAGAGCGGCTGGGCCACGCTCCGGCTACCAACACCTGCCCGCATCGGGCGGACTTCTTGCAAACTCTACGGTGCGCCGCAGCCAAAGCCCCCATGCTCCCCGATTCTGCCGCCGCCCGGTGGCAGGCGCTCCTGCTGCTGCTACTGCTGCTGCTGCCGTTGCCGCCGCTTGCCCGCGGCGCCCCAGCCGGGAGGGCGACCCGGGGGCCGACTTCGGAAGTGGTAGTGCCCAGGCTGTTGTCGAGCAGCACCGGCGAACTCACGTTCCACCTGTCCGCCTTCGGCAAATACTTCGTGCTGAGCCTGACGGCCGACCCCACCTTCCTGGCGCCGGAGTTTAAGATCGAGCGTCTCGGGGGCTCCGGCAGGTCGGCCGGGGGAGAGGGGGAACTACGCGGCTGCTTCTTCTCCGGCACGGTGAATGGGGAGCCTGAGTCGCTGGCGGCCTTCAGCCTGTGTCGCGGGCTGAGCGGCTCCTTCCTCCTGGCCAACGAGGAGTTCACCATCCAACCGCTGGGCACTGGGGACTCTCTGGACCGGCCGCACCTCCTACAGCGCTGGAAACTTGGGGACCGCAGCGGGGAACCGGGGCTAACTGCAGCCGAAGCCCGCCCCCTCCCTCGAGGACCCGAATGGGAGGTGGAGACCAAAGAGAGTGAGGAGCAGGAAAGAGAGGATGGTGAGCAGGAGGACCACGAGGAGGAGGAGCGCAAAGAAGAGGCAGAAGGCACCAGTGAACTGCCACCACCGTGGGGGGCCAAGAGTAGGACCAAGCGGTTTGTATCTGAGGCTCGCTTCGTGGAAACACTGCTGGTGGCCGATGCGTCCATGGCTACCTTCTATGGGGCCGATCTGCAGGTAGGACTCCGAGAGCTTTCCCCAGTTACTCTGCCTGGATGCCCCCAACACATCTCCCAGCACCTGTCAATTTTTCCCTTCCCAAGCCCTCTTCACCCTCCCAAACCCGACCCCAAACCAGGAAGAGTAATAACTCAAAATGTTTAACTTCTTCCATCCTGACTTCTCCACTCCAACCCCCAGTTTACAGTGGAGGTGCTGGCATAGTCTTCCCACTCACAACCCTCTCAGTCTTAGTCTCCAGCAGCACGTGGTGATAGGAACAGAAAGTGGGTTTGAACGCATCCCCCAGGCACCTGCTTCTCCCAAAAGAGATGAAATGTGAACATTTTGGAAGAACACCCTTATGTCCTCAGCTCTCTACTGTTGCTAGAGAGGTTCCCAATGAAAGGCAGCTAGACTGGAAAGAGGTAGCTATTTGGCTCCCCTTGGGTAAGGAACTTCGGTTGCCATAAGTAAAAGACATTGTCTGGAGGGAGTTGAACCTGGAAAGGGGCTCCCAACTTCTGTGTGCCCAGATGGTTGTAATCAAGGGGCATGGACTACCTTGCCAACCTGGCGCTGAGCCTCTGCAGAACTTGGCAGTGCCAGCATCCAGCACAAGGAGGGAGGGGAACAAAATTTCTGCCTGGGGGCTCAGCCTAGGCAACTGACATTTCAGTGAAAAAAGGAAGGGAGTGGGGAGTGGGAATGAAACTCTTGCAATTAATGTCTTTGGAGGAGCCAGAGCTGTGCTTGGTCCATCCAGCTGTCCTCTGCCCAGATGTAACTAACTTTCAAACGACTGGGACAGAAATACTGAGTACAGGGGAAGACTGCTGTAGCCAGACCATCTCTAACTAGATATAAAGATGGTGCTGATTTAGCAAGAGATGTTTGTATCACCCTAAGCCCTGATACCTCCCTCACAAAGACTGGGCAGAGGTCTTTCCAGGAGAAAAAAAAAAATGTCTTTTCAGTGAAAAAAGAAGAGAGCTATCTTTCTCTTCAACTAGGGAGCACAGGACCAGACATTCGCCAGTTAGAGAAGAACTAATTTGCCCAGAGGTCACAGTTCCCTGAAATAGGGATCCTGACACCACAGCAGCTCAGTTAACACTTTTGTAGTGATGGCATTCTTGGCTGGAAACCCAATTCTAGTTCAGCCTGTGCCCGACTATTGAGGGCACCACAGGCATTGGCATCACCTATGCAGAATAGTCCAGAAAAGAAGGCAGTTAGCCCTCTATTTCTCACCTGATCTTACCCACTCTCCTATCACCAGGAAGTGCAGAGTGAGAAAGATCCAGTGAAAAATGGATGGGACAGGAAGTGCTGCTGGTGAGAGATCCATGTGGCTGCTCTTCTGGCTACTGTCTTTTGTGGTATTGGCTTCTCCCAGAGCACTGCAAGGTGGCTCTGAGCCCTCAGGGTACTCTAACTCATGAGCTCTTGGTTAATACTGATTAAACATTTGCTTCTCTGCTGACCCTGAGAGCAGGAGAGAGGCACTAGCCTCCTCTGACTCCTTTTCCCAAGCAAGTAGTGAAGAGGGTATCAGAAGAAGATAAGAGGGCCTCCCCTATCTCATTAACATCACAATGCTCAGCTTCAGGGAGCTCCACTAAGAAAGAAACTGAGATATGTCTATTGCAAACCTAGAAGAAAGAGTCTGGGCCTGTCCTCTTGAGCAGACCAGTTTCTGACATGTACCTGAAAACCAACATACAGAAAAGCCAAACAAGAACATGGGGAAGTAGCAAAAAAAATGTCTTTTTTTTTTTTCAATCTTTCATGCCAAAATGTCCTCCCCAACACCTTCCTTGGTCTCACTCTCTCAGCTCCTCTCCTAGACACTGGAGATGCCAAGTATTTCCCTCAAAGACATATTTGGCATCTCCAGACATCACAGCTGTCCAGAGGCAGCCACACTTTGGCACTGGGATTCAGGATTCTCCAGCCACTGTAACAGAAGGCTCAACTGGGTTCTGCACCAGGTTTTTGTTCACTGTGCTTGAGATCCAGTTCTGCTACCCCAGACATGTTGCTCTCTGTGTCACAGAGCCATCAGGGCATATCTATTCTCATGGGACACCTAGCTGGATTGACCAGGGTGATGGTTGCTCCGTTCCCTCCTCCTCCACATATGCAAGTTTTCTGGACCTTTGACAGCTACACACAGGCACCTCTGCACCCAGCTAGCACCAAGTAGAGAGCATCAGAATAGGGTCACCACCTGTGAAGGCTGCATTCTTCTCCCTGGGGAGTGTACTTCTGAGTCTCATGCAGAAAAGAAGTCTTTACTGAGCTGGACCAGCCCTGCCCCCTCCACCTTGGTCTCATCAAGTGGCAACCCACCTGCACTCCTGCTCCCACCTATTAGGGTGAGAGAGGGGCTGGGGCACATCTGTCTCTATGACAACCACTGGCTCCTCTGCAGCCACTGAAATTTTCAGTTTAATGCCTTGGGCTTTCTAAAACAGGTCCATATGCTCAGCTGAGAGAAGAATGAAAATCAAGGCTTGGCACCCCAGGGCCTGGCCTACTCAAACCCTTCACCCCCAGATGGAAGCTAGTGGGTGTTTTTTTTTTTTTCATATATTTTTGGTTCATTATAGTTGTACATAATGATGGGATTTGTTGTTATATATTCATACATGCTTTCAATACAGCAATATAATTTGGCCAATATTACTCCCTAGCACTTGCCCCCCTCCTTTCCCTACTCCTACCCCCTGGTCCCTTTACTCTACTGATCTCCCTTTGATTATCATGAGATCCCTGCCCCCTCAACCTTTTCCTTTAGCCTTTTTAGCTGAAAGCCAGTTCTTTAAACATAACTCTCCAAGGAGTTTCCTATAGACTTCATTCACATGAATGGAAGGCACTTTGGGGTATCTTAGAGTAATTGGGGAAAGATGTTGAAAAGAGCATCTCTGCCCTTTAGGGAGTAGAAGACACCTGTACATAATCAATTCTAGTCTGAGTGCCTATGAGGGTGCTCCATGATGAGCCCATCTCCTGGAAGGTTCCACCATTTTCTGAGTATGTTCAATTTTCAGAGTTATATGCATGACCTCATGGAAATACCTGTGAGGTAACAGAGAGCTCACAGAGGCCATAGACTTTTCCAAGGTCACAACACTAATGAGTAATGGGATAGATTTGCAAACCAAGTTTCCCAAACCTGGGTCCAGCACTCTTTGTGATTGCACCATGGTACCTCTTTAGCATAAGAAAGTCTGTAATCCTATGGCACTTGTCTATGTTGTGGGGTGGATCCTTAAATTGAGCAATCCAAAGATATCCAGCTGAAGTGTGAAGCCCTATCCTGAGAAGAAACCACCTTCACCTTCAAAGCTGTGAGAGCTATGCTCCAGTCTGGTCCCACTGCTAAGCGACAATGAAGTTTTCCAGAACTCTGTACCATTACTTTCACTTAATCCCTTGACAAAAGAGGCCYCTGCCTCCCACCTTCTTATCTGGTTTCAGAGTTAGAGAGCTCAGACAAAGAAGGCTTGCTGAAAGGAAGGACCACCTTGAAAGAGACCATTAACAATGTCTGCGTCCAGCCTTTGCTCATTGCCCCCTGGATGAACCTGACCAGACAGAGTGAGTGGTGGGCTGAGCAGTGCCCCAGGCTCTGTCTGGGAAGTCTCTGCCAGTTTTTGGGCAGAAAGCTGAGCTTCTGAATTCTCTTTTTAACAGAAAGGGGCTGGGAGAAGTGTTGATCTTCCCCAAAGCCAACCAGAGCATCCCTAAATGTCAGGCTCCTGTCACAGCTATCTATCTCATCTCCTTACTCCTATCCTCTGGGGCCAATGTCTCCCACAGGCTCTCACACTGATCATATAGCCTAGTTCACCCAGCACAGTCCAAGTTTATGCCTGTTGTGGCATAATTATTAATAACATCATCTTTCAATGTCAAGAGTGTCCTCGTTTAGAAAATAACAGAAACAGAGGCCCCACCTGTTCTGTAGCTATCCCAGTTTTCATGGGTGAAAGACAAGTGTTGTTTGTGCATGAATTATGTTCTTCCCACCTGCAAAAGAATGAGTCTTCTCCCCTTGTGTCTGCTACAGTCAGAACTACTAAAGATATGAAGTATTTCCCAAAGAAAATATCCTAATATCCAAAGGCTAGGTGTGCATAGACAATGACAGGGACATCCTTGCTTGCTGGCATGCTTTGGGTTTGTTTTGGTCAGACTATAGTTTTCCTTGCAGTAGCGATGATGGGTGGTAGGTAGTGTGGCAACCAGGAGCATAGAATTTAGGGAGAAATAGAAATAACTGTGTCCTTGAACAAGTTACCTATTTCTGCATACCCTGATTTCTTCACCAGAAAAAAATAGAAGCAGTTACCTAAGTCCTAGCATTGTCTTGAAGATAGAACTAAATATGGAAAGTACTTGATCCAATGCCTGCACATAGTAGGTGCTCAGCAAAGCATAGCGATTACTAGAGTTGCCTTCAGTGAAGGAAACCATTTGTCACAGTGGGATGATGGTGCAGCCACACAACACTGGAGTGCCAGCCACTGCTTTTCAGCTTTGCTCTCCCAGAGGGCAGAGAGGCCTTCTTTTTCAGCTTGCCCAAACTCCCTAGTGTTTAAAGCTGACAACTTGTAGTCCTGCCTAAGTGTAAGCTTTAGGGAGGTGACATTGCTCTTTGCTATTTGGAGAATAAGGCAAGATAAAGGATACCCATGCAGATACCTCTCTTTCCTCCTCTCACTTCTTTCCTCTTTCTTTGCTTCTCCTCCATCTACTCACCAGTACTATCTTGAGCCCTAGAGAAATGCCAGGAAGAATAATGGCCCCTGGTTGTGAAAACTGGCTTTTCCGTATTGCTACTCTTCTGATCTCTGCCAGTGTGTCACAAGAGGAAGCTTTAGGGCCTGCTATGTGATGACCAAATGGGCAAAGAATAAAAGGTGATGTTCTGACCAGGAAAACAACTGCTGGATTCATTTGGCCCAGGTTCATTCTCCCCTAGACTCCCAACCAGCTTTGGCTGCCACAGGAGCCCCCCTGCTGGAGGGGGAAACTCCTTGTTTGTATCTGAAAGAATCAGAGGTCTATGTCCCAGCCAGCTGACTGGACCATATTTTTCTATTCCTGTGGATACCAATGGAGAAGACTCCCCCCCGCCCCCCCCCCAAAAAAAATGCTTTCTTTCCCTAACAGGAGTTAAGGGCATGAAATCCCCAGGTCACTCAAGAGAAGGTTTGTTTGGCCATTCTTGGCCAGACTGATCATGGATTCCTACCAATTTTTGGGGTGGTTTTAGAGGTTTTCTGCAAACCATGGACCCGATAGTCCTGGGTGTGAGGTGGGGAAGGATCTTGTTCACATTCTTGGGCATACTTCCTGCATTTACATGGTGAGTAAGGAGGTGTGGGAGGTATAAATAGACTCTAGGTGGTAGAACAAGCCATCTGACCTTTCCCTTGATCAGCTCCCAGGCCTACTCCCTGTACAACTAGAAGTCAGGCTTTCCCTTTAGACCCAGAGGATTGGTGGGGAATCAGAAGTCCACAGACCCGAGGTGACACACCTGGCCCAGGCTCAATGGTCTTTCCCAGATACCCTGAAAATGCAAAAACTCCTGCCAGTGTTTCTCTGAGGGGCCAACTGGGAGCAGGAGATGGTAGGGATGACAGAGCTGCTCAGGGACACAATAGACACGGAGAGGTCCACAGGACCAGGGCTTAGGATTCTGAAAGGGACATTGGACCACACAATCCTAGCAATAAAAATGAGATGGTGAGTGACCAGGAGGAATTTCAGATGTCTTCAAGTCTAACCTATCACTTTGAAGCAAAATGGCTCCCTGGCCAAAGCTTCCTGGCCCAACAGCTGTGCAGTGTCTGGAGAAGAGAATCATATGAGTTCCCTAAATTACAGAGAAGAAGGTCCCTGCAAATCTTAATTCTGGGAAACTTTTCTTGTCTTACCCCAACTTTCATAGAATGATTTACACCCACTTTCTTTTTAGTTATAGCTAAACACAATACCTTTATTTTATTTTATTTTATTTTATTTTGTGCTGAGGATTGAACTCAGGGCCTCACATGTGCCACGTGAGCACTTTACCACTGAGCCACAACCCCAGCCCAATTTACACCCTTTTCCTTTATCTTCACTGAGGACATGACCAATGCAACATCTCTCACTCAGTCTGTCTCATTTGATCAGCTTGGAGCATACAGACTCTTCTCAGACCTCAAGTCTAAGTTTCTTGTGTTGACCTGCCTTGGCCCGATGCTTAGCAACTGGCATCTCATGGCTTCACACCATATTTGAAAGATCTCCTCTTCCCCAATTTTCAGAATGTGAAATGGGTACTCCATGAAAAGAAATCTGTGGTCCCTGCCCGTCAGACCCTGCTCCTTCCTAGAGAGACTAGGAGACTCTTTCTGAACCCCAGAAGCAGTAAAGACCTGGCTAGGAATCAGCCTCAGCAAGCTATCATTCCTCAGTGCTCACCCCCAGTTGCATAATATGTGATTGCTTTTTTTCTTTTAGGAATATAACTCCAGGAGCAAATGCCAAGTTTCAGCTTTGCTGATATTTACATCAGCCTAAACCCAACTAGAGTACTTGACATGCTAAATAACCTGCACTTAGTAACCTGCCAACCTTTTTCTGTAGAACTAACAAAATACCTGGCTTCTTGCCTTCAAAGTGAACAGACAGGTCCCATTCACAAAAAAAAAAAAATGAGTCTCATCTGGAACTCCCACACACAGCCTGCCCCATTGGAATGTTCCTCTCTAGTCTTTCTCCCTCCTTCAATTCCCATCTTCCAGACCACAGAAGAACAGAAAGAGAGGCTGATAGGAGGTGGTGCTCCAGGGAACAGAGAAGCAGAACACATGAACAGCAGCCCAGCTAACCATTCTGCAAACAAAGGCATGCCTGCCTCTGTCCCTTTGTCTCTGCCTCTGCAAAATAATCCAAGAGGGCAACTTCAAGAAGCCCCTGTGGCAGGAGAATCAGCTCCCATCTGGCCTCCCCTCAAAGCCTTGGAATTCATCAGGGGAGCTGTTGGCAGCCCAAGGACAGGATAGAGGCCAAGCAATGATGTAGGTTCCTTCATCTGGCTTGGGTGGAACTGAGAGCAGGTGGGATCCTAAGCACATGGGTCTCATTAGGCCTTCTGGATTCTCTCAAGTCCCAAGCAGAAGGGAATAAATCCTTCAGGGCTGTCCAAGCAAACATCAACAAGCCAAACCCTGGGAAACTAAATGAGAAAAGTAGGATTGTCAGAGACAGACCTACCTGGGCTGGCATCCTGGCTTTTAGAGTGGTGTGACCTTCAACAAGTTATTGAACTTGTGTGACTCTCCACTTCCTCTGTGTCCGCTTCATAGAGTTATTGTGAGAATTTGTTGAGGTGATGTGTGTCTAGTGTGGCCAGTGGCTGGTGCAGAGTAGCTATGGCTAGGAGTATTTATTATAATGAGCAAAGCTTGAGGTTAACAATTCCCATTCTGAGGAGTAGAAATTACCCCAACAGACGTTAGGAAAATGCTTGGCTGAATTCCAAAAGAGAAACTCTAACCTTCAGCACTCAGATCATTGCTTCCAGGCTGAGGCCAGGGAAGGGGAGGAGGTTGGCAGGAAGACAGTTGGTGTCCAGATTAAGGCAGAATAAACCATGCAGCCCAGAAGAACTATCTATCTGCAGCTCCAACACAATAGCCAGGAGCTATATATGGCTATTTATGTGCTTAAAATATAGCTGTGTGATGGAAGAACTGTCTTCTAATTTTATGAAATTTTAATTACCTAGGATTTAGATAGTCATGTGTGGCTTGTCTGGATGTTAAATGCACAAGCTTTGGGGCCAGCATTTGGGTTTAAATTCAGATCGTCCACTCATTCACCCTAAGATTTTTGGACCAATTACTGAGCCTCAGTTTACTACCTTGGCAAATGAAGGGAAATAACAACAAGCCCACAATGGGTTTTGTGAGTCACAGCAAGATATTATATATCCAGTGCTCAACCCAGAGCCTGGAAGGAACAAGGTAAATGCCCTGTCACAAGCCATGATGGCAGAGGGCAGGCCAAGGGCCATGAGATTGAATACTTCCTCCTTCTCATTGTTCTTCCTTCCTGACAGAACCACATGCTGACCCTGATGTCAGTGGCAGCCCGCATCTACAAGCACCCCAGCATCAGGAACTCCATCAATCTCATGGTGGTCAAAGTGTTAATAGTGGAAGATGAAAAATGGGGCCCAGAGGTGTCAGACAATGGTGGGCTTACACTGCGCAACTTCTGCAACTGGCAGCGGCGTTTCAACCATCCCAGTGACCGCCACCCGGAGCACTATGACACGGCCATCCTGCTCACCAGACAGGTGTGTGGGCTGGCTCCAGAAATCCTGGGCCTGAAAGGGGACAGGCTGGGTGGATCAAAAGGAGGGCCACTAGGCCTGCCCAAACATGGGAACTGTCTCCCTGCTGGCCTCAGCTGGACGCCAGAAGCCTAATGCTTGGAATGATGAGGAGGAGGTCATGAGGACAAGTGTGAGGTATTTGCAAGGGAAGGAGAAGAATCTTGTAAGGGCTCTTTTCCAAAAGTTCGTGACCAGCTGTCTGCTGAGGTCATAACAAGAGGAAATAAGCTCAAGCCACTCAGTGAGAGAGCTGGAGTTGGAAGTGGGACAAGGGTTCTGTCTTCAAGGGTTGTTAAACATAGAAGCAGGTAACCAGGCAGTCCTTCAAGATTTCCCATGGCAGGAGGGCTGCTTACCCATCAGGCTTGATTTAAACAGCTTTCTGAAGACAAGGGAGTGTTACCACACTCCCTTGTGTGCCAGGCCCTGTCAGCTCCTTCAGGACTCACAACAGTCCCAGGGCCAAGGATGGTGCTATCCCCATTTTATAATTGAGGAAACTGGGGCACAGAGAGGCTACACAGCTCTCTTGCCACACAGTGGCAATTCCCATAGTTGAGCCCAGTCAGGCTTTCTGTGGGGTCTTTCTTTGAACCACTGTGCTGTTCTGCCTCTCAAAATGAGCCTATGAAGTCCTAGTAGCCCTAGGATGCTGCCATCATAAAACAGGGAACAGACTTTCTTATGTGAGTGGCCCATGGGAGGACACGGGGCCCTTCGGATAGCTTCGTGTGTGTTGTTGATGTTGTTGATGTTTGCAGTACTGAGAATGGAACCCAYGGCCTCACACATGCTAAGCAAGCACCACTGGGCTACATCCCCAACCCTTTTATTTTTTATTTTTGGGATAAGATCTTGCTAAGTTGCCCAGCCTGGCTTCAAAYTTGGGATCCTCTTGCCTCATCCTTTTGAGTAGCTAGCATTAATAGGCATGCACCACTATGCCCTGCTTCGTTTTTTGACAAAAGTGATTTTCATGGGTCGCTCTCCAAGTTCGAAAGACAAGGATAGGTGAACTAATTTGACCATAACTAAGATAGAAAAAAAAACAATAATGAAGGGCCACAAGGTCGGATATCAAGACACATAGAACCCTACTGCTGCTACCTAGACCTTTACAAAGCTCAGTTAACACAGGTGATACTTAGGCCAGCAGTTGAGTATCCCATGTAATGGCCGGTGGGGAGATTCGCGTGTACCTGGTGCCTTCCTGTGATCCTGTGCCTGCTATACACATGCCACAATCACTGATGGCTCTCTTCACCAAGCAGAACTTCTGTGGGAAGGAGGGGTTGTGTGACACCCTGGGTGTGGCGGACATCGGCACAATCTGTGACCCCAACAAGAGCTGCTCCGTGATCGAGGATGAAGGGCTCCAGGCAGCCTACACCCTGGCCCATGAGCTAGGTAAGATTTGCTGTGTCAAAGCCACATTACCACATATAGGAGGGAACTACTTCTTCCGGGCTCAATAGTCAGCTATCACAATTGGCCATCATATCTCATAACKTAATTCTGACAGAGTGGGTTATATACAATAGACATCGTGCATGCTATTATAAACTCCATTCCCATCCTGAGCATAAGAACAAAACACCACAACAGTATCCTGAGGCATCATCAAAGTCACCTGAAGAGTGCCAAAACATGAAACAAATGTCCAGGTAGAGCCATGATGCCATACATAACTGAGCAGTAGGATGTGGGGTACCATGTTGGACAGCAATTAGAAGAGGTAAATGTGAAAATCAGGTAGAGACAAAAAAATAAAGGGGTATTAGTGTTCCTCAGTCATCTGAGAACACTTTCTGGAATAGATAAAGCTAAAAACAAAAATCTTTAGGTAGTCAAGGTGTGGCTGTTCTCACAAGGAGCTGGTGATTGGTAGCACTGCCAAAACCATCACCACGGCTGGTCATGTGGAATAGACCACGGTCTCTCTGCTCCCTCAGGTCACGTTCTCAGCATGCCCCATGATGACTCTAAGACCTGTGCACGGCTGTTTGGGCCTATGGGCAAGCACCACATGATGGCACCGCTCTTTGTCCACTTGAACAAGACGCTGCCCTGGTCTCCATGCAGTGCCATGTACCTCACGGAGCTCCTGGATGATGGCCACGGTAGGCCCCACTTGGCTTCCTCTCTGCTTCTCCCTGTCCACCTGGCCAGAGGGCCTTTTGACAGCTCTTGGCACCTGCACTGACTTGGGGAATCCCAGGACCTGTGCTTTCTCAGAATGCTCTTAGGGTGGGGAGAGACGTCAGAGGTGTGTCATTCTTTGAAAGGCATTCTAAGAATTTCCCCAGAGGGCTCCTCCTTGCCCAACTTCCTGTAGCCTGAGCTCTGGGCTAATTTAGATTTATTCATCGAAGCAGGTGGAGTTAGTTTAAGAAGTTTGTCTGGAAGAAGTGAGTCTGAGCAGAGCTTATAGGAATGGAAGAATGTTTATGGTAAAGAGGAGAGAAGATAATGCTCCAGGCTGGAGTGGTTTCTCCTAGGATAGCTCAGAAAAGGCAAGGAGGCAGTAATCAGGTTGTGTGAGAGCAAGAAGTGGGGGATCAGGGATGCCTGGTTAAAACAGCTTGAATTGTTGGATAAAGCAGTGACACAATATATTCTTCTCTTTGAAAGAGGCAGGGAGACAAGTAGTACAAATATAGTAGATTATCCAAACAGCAGTACTTGGGTCGCTCTCCAAGTTTGAAAGACAAGGATGGGTGAACTAATTTGACCATAACTAAGACAGAATGTCATGTCATGGTTTTTAAGAGGATATTCACATTCCCAATTATTGTGATGTAGGTTAAGGGTATGGCTAGATGGTTATCACTAAGTCCACACTGGGAGCCATGGGAAATGCATCCTAGATGTTCTGATAATAAAAGAGAAAGTCAAGTCCTACAAAACTTCTTGCTATTGTTAGTCAAAAAAAAATTAAAAACAGTCTTAGATGATTGGGTATTGATAGTGTTTAGATCAAGGTCAAGGAAACCATGATGTCTAGACTTTAAACTATATCATATGAAATTTGATTGTAATGTGGGGCCATGCAAACTGAGGAGACCCTGCCYCTTGTTCTTACTTCTCTGCTTCCTCTCTTCTCAGGCGACTGTCTCCTCGATGCCCCCACCTCAGCCCTGCCCCTGCCCACAGACCTCCCAGGCCGCAGAGCCCTCTATCAGCTAGACCAACAGTGCAAGCAGATCTTTGGACCTGGTTTCCGCCACTGCCCCAACACCTCTGTGCAGGACATCTGCACCCAGCTCTGGTGCCGCACAGATGACTCTGAGCCCCTTTGTCATACAAAGAAYGGGAGCCTGCCCTGGGCCGATGGCACCCCCTGTGGACCTGGGCACATCTGCTTGGATGGCAGCTGTCTGCCAGAGGAGGAAGTGGATAGGCCCAAGGTGAGGAAGGAGGAGTGGGAGTAAAAGAAGGTGAAGGCTGTTTTCAAAGGGGGAACCACACTTGAAAGTCAGGAACTATGAGACTTCAGGCTAGACTTGCAACTTCTGACTTCTAAGTAAAATCACTCAKAACAAACAAACTGAAGCATATTTATCCATACAAGCAAGGAGCCCTTAGAGGCTGTACTCATGGTCTATGGGATGCTGCTGTTGCTCTGGGAATTTCAGCAACTCACCCTTTGAATTGCTTTGAGACTGAATAGAGAGCTTTTATACAGATTGATGAGAGGTGCGAAGGCCAAAGATGGGCACAGCCTTTCCAAATTCCATCATAAATGAAAAGAGTGACATGGACAGGAACATTTTATCAAGGATTGAGTGACAAGTGTTCATAGCCTCCCCATATTTAAGCTGAATTCCTAATTAGAGATGAGGGGAATGAGAGTCATTGTGGAATTCCATACTCAAAGAGGAGGAGGAGAGAAGGAATTGGAGCTGCCTCTGACCAGGCAGAGAAATCTTGGCCCAGTGCAGAGGAAACTTGCATGAAAAACCAAGGCAATGCCAGTGAGGGTTTTTTAAATGGTTCACTTCTTTGCACTGCTCTTAATACATCCAAACTGCAAGGCCGATCACATTTCCCTTACTGCGAGTCACGGAGCCATCACTATGAAACAGCATCCGCTTTGTTTTACAGCTTGATCCCCACCCAGCACAGAATCACCAGGGTGGCCCAAACTCTCTCCATGGGGCCATCCTCTATGGCCCGTCTTTTGTACTAGGCTTCAGCAGCCTTTTGGGCCACATAAGCCACGCGCTCTCATCCTAAGCCTGCATCAGTGCAGGATTCATGGATTCATCTCAGCAACCTCCCAGACCCCTCATTCATTCTCTTTCCACGTTATTGAAGGGAGGGGAGAGAGGTCAGTCCACCCACCTCCAGAAGCAGAATCAAGCTAAATGCAGAGAAAGAGTGATATGATATGATAAATAGGGGTATTTTTATGGAGAAAGGGCAGATCATAAAATAATTTATATCACAGAATTGTCTGTAAAATGAAAATATCGMATCTTTATGATTATATATTTGGAGCAAAAATATGAAAGGATATTGATGAAGATCATAACAATGATTTTCCTCTGGGTAGTWGTATTTTTAAAGGGATTCCTTTCCTTTTTCACACTCTTCCATATTTTTTCATTTTTTATATGTACATGCATTTTATAACATTTTGAACCTAGGGACAAAGCTTTCTTCTCATAAATTAATTGTACACTTGGAAACAATTGTGTATGTCCCATGTATTACCCTAGCATTGGAATCAGTAGCTGGTAGACTAGTGGCAGCACCCCTCAGAGACTCTTCCTTTAGACATGGGTTTTCCAATCTTGGTGCTAGTGACATTTGGGATAAATCTTTACTGTGGGTCCTGTGCACTCTTGGTGATTTAGCAGCATCTTTGGGCTCATCCTTCTAGTTGCCAGTAACATAAACTCTCCCCAGCTGGGACAACCACAGTATTTGCGCACATTGCCAAGTGTCCCGTGTAGAACAAAATGTGCTGCCATAGAGAACCATGGTGTCAATTCAAGCCATATCCCTATGAAAGGCTCTCTTTCATTTATTCAGCAGTTATTCTGTTGTGCACCTGAATAAGGCGAGGTACTGTCTTATATATCAGGCAGTCAACTGTGAATGAGCCCAGCACAGCTTCAGGGTTCACAAAGCTTCAGCTAGGCAGGCCACACAATCAATTATCAAATAACTGAAGCAGATACAGAACTTTGTGCACCAAGATGAGAATAGCTAGATGACAAAGTCAGGCCCAGTCCCCCCACCTCTTTACTTCTGATCCAGTGGCACTGTATATTGCAGGTTGTGGTGGATGGAGGCTGGTCCGCATGGGGGCCCTGGGGAGAATGTTCCCGGACCTGCGGAGGAGGAGTACAGTTTTCACACCGCGAGTGTAAGGACCCAGAGCCTCAGAATGGAGGAAGATACTGCCTGGGTCGCAGATCCAAGTACCAGTCATGCCACACGGAGGAATGCCCATATGATGGTAACAGCCATTTACCGCCACTCCTGCTAGGGCAGCTGCTATTTCTGCTGCAACAGATTGCCAGAGGAGGACAAGGGTGGTTCTCCCAGGATGCAGAGTTGAACTGTAATCCACATTTAAATGGGCTCTGCAAACTTGGGGGTGGCTCTCGGGGACCCAGGACAGTTCTTATATTATGTTGGGAAATGCTGGCAAAGTCAAGGAGAAATTTTGCCCTGATCATCCAAGATGTGGAGACAGAGTGTGTCACTCCTAACCAAACTTATTGAGGAAGGGCTTTTGCAGAGGGGCTAGTGTCTAGGATAATAATCCTCCTGGAGGCATCTGAACCCTCATCTATGCACAGAATGGAAGTGTTTTCCAAAGCAAGTGCAGAGCCAAACCTCCAAGGTCTCTCCAGCCAGCACTTGGCCTCAAGAGGAGGGAGGATTTCTGAATCCGATTCCTGTGTACATTCCTGCTGAGAAGAGTTGCCCRTCTTTCCCTGGGGCCATAACAACTGCCTGACAGAACAGTCCCAGGAAGCAACACTACCTACACCTTTCCCTGGCATATTCCTCTTCCTTGGAATGTGCTAGAAGCACACACAGTAACTTAGAGGCAGTAAGGGGCCACAGGAAACTTATGAAAGGGAATCATTAGAAAATTTTCCCCCAACCAACCCATCCAACTCCCCTTTGGACAGTTCCAAGAAGGATTGGCAGACATAAAGACAAGCAGAGGTTTAGGACCGGCTCGTCCAAGTGCCAAGACACCCTGGCATTTGCTTGACATCTAATGGGAGAATCTGTAGGCTCTGCAGTTTTGCAAGAATTAGCAATGGCATGAGGCTCTAGAAATTTTGTTCTGGAATTGTGAGAGTTTGCCTGGCATATGGGCTGAGATGTTCCTGAGAAACAAAGAGGATGAATATAAGGTACACAGTAGATAACAGGCAATAGGTAACATGATTTCAGATACACCAAGGTCAGCCATTTCAATCAAGAATTTTTTAGGACTCTTGTGTGTCTAGAAATATAATGGTTGTTATAAATGATATAAAAATGTACTCTGATTAAAGAACCAAAAATCCCTTCATCTAGCAATTACAATTTAACCTATGAGGCACAGACTCTAAGCATGGAAGGAGGTCAGAGAAAGGAGATGCTTTTAGGGGAGTTTGAACCAAGGAAGGCCCAGAGAATGGAGATGGCAGCAAGTTATAAGGGAACATTTCAAGATAAGGAAAAGGTGTGAGAAGTGCCATCATTTGCAGAATTTGCCAGTACATCAAAGCCAAGCTGAAGTCTAATTCAGAGTGTAAAGGCTGTCCTATCAGGTCACCTGGAAGCTTCTCAAACACAGCCCAGACACCCTCTACTGTAGTGACTCAGAACCTCAGGGTGGAGCACCACATCTGTGTCTGGAAGTTTCCACGGGTCACTCAGATTCACAGCTAGGGTGGAGAATTATGGGAGGAAGACCAGGTCTAATTTCAGGATATGTTGGGGGAAACACCCAGAACTTATTTCATATGGATCAATCTGTAAGCAATGTGGAGCAAGAGTGAGTAGAGGCAGGTACCTGTAAGAGGCTGGTCACTGGGTCCAGTGGAAGCCCTGAGGTCTGATGGGGATGGTGAAAGTAACATGAAGCCATTTTGGATCACAAATTTTCCTAAATATAGGGGAGTACTTCATGACAGATTGGAAATCGTGGATAGAGATGCTCAAATGTACAGGAGGGTCAAGGCTGCTAGTCTCAAGACTGAAATATGGTAGTGTCATCAAGTGAAAATCAAACCAGTTAGTGGAAGGACCACATGGTACTTGGCATTGCTGAGCTAGAGGAAAGAGTAGTACATGCAAATAGAGCTCCCCCATAAGCACCCAGAGTTACAGGAAGTGGAGTATATGGATGGGTAAGACCAAAACTAGATGTACAAGTTGAAGAGCCATTGGCCACATGCCCAGTGTCACTGAGAAAATCAAGATAGAGTACTATTAGCAGAGTTCCAAAAATATAGCTTCATGCATCATTCTGTACCTTCCACATTTGCTAAATTTTTCCCTATTCCCATCTGTAAAATAAAATCAATGTCTTTCCAAATGGAAAGGATATTTATCCCAGAAAGGCCAGCAGGAAGCTAGATGGTTCCTTTCCTTACCCCTTTGAGTAAGGATCACATGTGCATCTAGGTCAGGCTGTGTCTAGAAACATTGGGCCCAGATGACACTGGTCCTGAATCCTTGGGTTGAGTCCAAAACCTAGACCAAGAAATGGTCCTTGAGTCAAGGAATTTCTCCACCTATGTTCTCCTGACTTCAATATGACCATTTCTTACTCTTTTTAGGGAAAAGCTTCAGAGAGCAGCAGTGTGAGAAATATAATGCTTACAATTACACTGATATCGACGGAAATCTCCTGCAGTGGGTCCCCAAATATTCGGGGGTGTCCCCCCGGGACCGCTGTAAGTTGTTCTGCAGAGCCCGGGGGAGGAGTGAGTTCAAAGTGTTTGAAGCCAAGGTGAGAATCCTACTGTACTCAGATCAGATGGGGAAGAAGGCACCTATGGCAGACCCCTCCTGCAGGCTGTTTCTATGTACCATATACTCTATCATCCTTTCCTTTCCCAGGTAATCGATGGAACTCTATGTGGTCCAGAGACTCTGGCCATCTGCATCCGAGGCCAGTGCGTCAAGGCTGGCTGTGACCATGTGGTGGACTCACCTAGGAAGCTGGATAAATGTGGTGTGTGTGGGGGCAAAGGCAACTCATGCAGGAAGGTCTCCAGTTCCTTTACCCCTTCCAGGTGAGCTTCCCCAGAAATTGTACACTGGCAGAAGAGCATATCAGACTTTGGACTCTAATCAGCCCAAGTTTGAATTGCAGCTGCTCCTTAATAGCTCTGTAGATTGGGCAAGTTATTTAAACTCTCTGAGCTGCAGTTTCTCTGTAGAACGTCAGCCATCTATCTGAGAGTCACTGTAAGGATTTCATTCGATGGAATGAGTGGAGCCCTGGGCACAGGGTCAAGCCATAGAAAGGATGGAACTCAGGGCAGCTGGTTTTTTTTTTTTTTTTTTTTTTTTAGAGGGAGGCCACCTGGATACAATGTATCAGCTCTGAGTCAATCTGCTGCAGGGCTGGGCTGAGTAACCTGGCCCTTTGCCAGAAAACAGTTCCTCCCGGCCTCTGCTTTAGGAAGGACATCTCACCTTAAGCCTGGTRAACCTTGTCCTCTTCTAGATGAATCCTCAGAAAAGAGGGTACAAAAGAGTGGCTCAGCAACCTCACAAATCTGAGAACTCAGAACAGTTTTCTAACATCCACGTGCCCCACATTCATGTAGCTCCTAGAATTTTTCAAAGTCCTTTATTTCAACAGCCTCATTTGATTCCTAAAACAAGTTATGAGGTAGACAAGGCAAATACTATTACCCATTATGTTGCAGACAAAGAAACTAAGGCAGAAAATGATTAAGTGACTCTTCTAAGATCACACTGAGAGTTAATGACGGCCAGAAAGAGAACCTGGATTTCTTAAGTCCTTGGGGATTATTTTTTCCTGCCATTTCATGCACTTTCTAAAGAATAAGGGCATGGTCACATGGTAGGGGCTACACTCTACTACTCTGGCACTAGTACATATATATTTTTCTGGCAGCTAGGTAATCATCCAAGCCTCCTCCCACTACTCCATCTGCAATTCCTCAGAGGCTTTGAAAAGTGATCACTTACCTAGTGATGCTTGCTCTACCCTGCCTCATATTCATTTATTTTTCTCCCTCCCTGCGCTCTCTCTCGCGCTCTCTCTCTCTCTCTCTCTCTCTCTCTCTATATATATATATATATATATATATATATATATATATATATATATATATTTGTGTCTCATAGTAGACAACTTGGTAGTATTCAATTTTAAGCTCAAAGGATATAGGGTGGAAAACCCTATAAGTTCTTCAGATTGTTGGTCCTTTAGCAACTTCCTCTTAGGCACTGGACATATGGGCCTTGGATATTGTTATAGCCTTAGACTAAACAGCTAGTCCTCGCTGGGCACATGACAAGAATAGCAAAGAACTGGACTGTCCTCCTCAATACTCTTCCCTTTCTCCCCAGCCTCTATAAACCAGATCCCCAGAGGAGGACAAAAGAACTAAATTTTCTCCATCCTACATAAAGCCCCATGCCTATAATGGACGAACCATTTTCCCTAAATAGCTTCCTTTCACTGCTTGATACTCATGGCTGGGCACACTCAAAAGGTGATTCCAAAGAAGTTAGCTTTAACTATCCACCATCCTGAGATTCTGCCCTAAGTACATAATAACCATAGATGCTGACTGACTCAAAGAGGTGGTATGGGACTTCCACCCAGGTCAGTTCTGGAACAGGTGACAAGATCAGATTTTTCCACATGGGTTTGAAGTCTGGGTGTGGAGGTGGCCAAGCCTAGTTTTACACCAACACAAGGAACTAGATATATTTGAGATCTCACTTGAGTCATGAAGTGCCAGATTTGTCTGCACCAGTGCAGCTTTTCAAACCCCTTTGGGCTCTCCCTCTATGTTGTTTTTAAGATCCATCCATCCCAACTCCTTAACCCAAACACCTACAATAGAGCTGACAGATGAAGCAAAACTCTTAAAAATCCTAAGTACAAGACATTTTTTTCTGCTTCARTAGCTAATTTATTTAGAACTATGAAGCAATTCCTTTATTATTGAGTAATTGTTTTTGTCTGCTCACTCCCAAACACTAGGGATGTTCACTTCAGTCTCAAAGACACCCTAAGGACCTAGGCTGCCACCAGTCCTAACAGTGTCTCTCTGTTCCTATTGTAGTTATGGCTACARTGACATTGTCACCATCCCAGCTGGTGCCACAAACATTGATGTGAAACAACGGAGCCACCCAGGGGTCCAGAATGATGGCAGCTACCTAGCATTAAAGACCACTGATGGGCGGTACCTGCTCAATGGCAACCTGTCCATCTCTGCCATAGAGCAGGACATCTTGGTGAAGGGGACCATCCTGAAGTACAGTGGTTCCATTGCCACCCTGGAGAGGCTACAGAGCTTCCGGCCCCTACCTGAGCCTCTGACAGTGCAGCTCCTGACTGTCCCTGGTGAGATCTTCCCACCAAAAGTCAAATACACCTTCTTTGTTCCAAATGATGTGGATTTCAGCATACAAGACAGCAAAGAGAGAGCAACCACCAACATCATCCAGCCACTGCTCCATGTGCAGTGGGTGCTAGGGGACTGGTCTGAGTGTTCCAGTACCTGTGGAGGTGGTTGGCAGCGGCGGACTGTGGAGTGCAGGGATCCCTCAGGCCAGGCCTCCACCACCTGTAGCAAGTCTCTGAAACCTGAGGATGCCAAGCCCTGTGGAAGTCAGCCGTGTCCCCTGTGATCATGTGGTGGGAAAGGGTCTTGTGCTCATGGACTTGGGGTGCTGGGGTGTGGACAAGGGTCCCCTCTGGTGACCCTGTATATCAAGGTGGCATTGCCTGCCCAGGCCTTCCCTTGCTGCAGCCCCTTGAGTATTGCCTGAATTCATAAGGGGGAGGAGAAGAAGGGATGGGGATGACAGATCCTAAGTCAGCTGTCTAGTGGACTGAACCTTGCTCAGGTTCAAATAGAGGGCATAGGATAAAAGACAAAAGTGCACTTATTGACKTCAATGGGAGACTCAGAGCCAGCCTATTTGCAAAGGACTAGCAAAGTTAGATTTAAAGTTTTTTTTTTTTCTATTTGGTTTCCCCGATAAATAATCTACCTCAGAGGGGAAAATATATTAGTACAAGAGAGGCGTGGGGCAGGAAGTCAGTGACAAATGTCAAAGCAAACTCTGTAGCTGTGCCCCACGCTGTCTTTGGAAATGACCATGACTATCTTCAGTGTTAAAATTCACCATCTAAAGGGCCACAGTGTTGGTCACAGGGTTGTGGAGAGCCACATGTTCTCAGGCTGCCACCTGCCATGGTGGACCCATTTCAAGTATTTATGCAAATGTGTCTCTGAACTAAAGTGTGATCTTGTGCCAATGAAGTGGTGTAGTCTGGTTCATTCTTTAGAAAGGGCAGGGGGCCCAAAGCCCCACAATGAAGGTAAAACTAGGTCAGCTCACCTCAAGCACACACAGAGCAGCTAGCATCTGGCTTGTCTCTTCTGACCTTTAATAAGAAGGAAAGTGGGAGATCACCATGGTTATGTGGTACCTCTTGGGCTCATTATTCTTGAGAAAGAGTATCCCATTTTACTCTTCAAGCTGCCCCCATCTTACATGCTATCCTGCTTCACTTTATTTAAGCCAAAAATACATGATCCTTCTAAGATCTCAGGAATTCTAAACCTGTACCTAGGTAACATCCCAGTGACTTCAGCATCTGTTTTCCAGATGATATGCCAAATTTCATCCACATCTCATAATTCTTTTGGCCCAAGAAACTTATATCTCCCCCATAAGCCCTTTTATCCAGGATGGCATTCCCCACCAGGTACCCCATATCTACCGGAGAGCCTCCAATATCCCCTTTCCTGCCCATATTTTCTCTTCTCTCTCATGGCTCAGAAGCACTCTCTGGCTCAGTCTTCCATATAAGTAACTTAGTCCTTGGTCRTGAATGGGTGAGAAGAAATGGACAACATTAAGAAATGACAGTTCAGTGGCAGAGCACTTGCCAAGCACAAGTGAGGCACTGCGTTTGATCCTCAGCACCACATAAAATAAATAAAATAAAGGTATTATGTCCATCTACAACTAAAAGTTTAAAATAAAGAAAGAAAGTAATGACATTCTAAAAACAGATGGAAGAGATCTTCTTTTGGCCCCTTTGTCCTTCCCTTTGGGTTTCTCTCAAGACATGGGGACACAGGCAGAAAGGATGCTGATGGAGCCCCAGTGTGAATGAGTTCTCAGACCCTTGGGGCCCAAGACAAGGCCAATGCAGTTTCAGCCCCATCTGTCCCCCTTAGCTGGTCTCTACATGGTGGCAGTTGACAAAGATATTGCTTTTCCCTCTCTGCCCAGTCTGTTTAGTGAGTGGGAGGCTGGGCTTACCTAAACATAAACAAGCACACACAGAGAGGCATGTTGTTGATGACTACTAAAAGCAGATTTTTCCTTGCTGTGAACCAGTTTTGTTGAGGCTGATAGATGTTTCTGTAAGTCTTTATCTCCTTCTGTTTATCATTCTTCCCCAAGTAATCAAGGGCAAGTGTGTCCCCCATTAACTGCCCTTGTCAAGCCAGCTGTGCCATCCTTACTGCCTGCATTATTACCAGGCACAGGTTTTGCCCTGAAGTTCAGCTGGCAGCAGAGCTGCTGATGTGCAAAGCAGAATGGAATCCAGCTTGGCTCTCCCTTGCTGTGTGGGCTCGGCAAGGCTCACAGAATACATACTTGTTTGTGTCTGGAAATTCAACAGCTGCAGCTCAGGGACTCAGAAAATAGAGCTGCAAAGGGAGACCACACCATTGTTTGCCCTGGCCAACCACAACCATCCTTTTAGCCCACAGAAGGAAATACTATATTTCCTCTAGTATTTGCATTCTCCAACCATTGCTCCCGATAGAAACTGGTACTGATGCCTTCTAATGGAAGCCCCTAAGGCCCTGACTCAGCAGGTAACTTGGTCATTAATCTGGATCCTCCAAGCAGCTGCCAGAAATATTCCAAAGGTGATACATTAGCATCAAAATTCATTTCCAATTGTTCATCCTTAAGATAAGTAAATCCTTGTCTGGCATTTGTTCTCTGCCTTTTATCCCCCTATAGCTGACCAGAGGATTTTGAGAATTTGGGAAGAGAATTCCCCCAAGCAATGAGAAGCATATCTCTGCCCAGCAATCACCACCCCTTGCTCCAAGACTGTCAGCTACCCCAAGTCCCAGAGGCACACACCATCTAGGGTGCTAGGACAGTAAGCAGAGGAAGCAAGAGACATCATTCCTATCCTTGAGAAATATAAACAGGGGTTTGCTCTCCTTTGGTGGCCTGTGGCTGGAGGACAGTATGTCTTTATGATGAAAGCTCTCCTCGAGCACAGCACGTTTCCCATCTGCKCTCCTCCAGCTGAGCCTGCAGCTTTGGGAAAGCAGCATGTGGGACATGAAAGAGAAAGAAGTCCCCCATTTAAGCTGACATTTTTTGCTGGTTCATTTTGGGTAAGCATTAAAGGAGTAAATACCATGGTCATATTTACCTTACATAGGACAATGTTTTAGGGGACTGAGAGTGTAGCTCAGTGGTAGAGTGTGTGCCTACCATAAGCAAGGCCATGGGTCCATCCCYACCAGTACATGAGTAAGGAAGAGGAGGAGGAGGAGTTGAAGAAGGAGTGAAGGGAAGAGGGCAGGGAGAAAGAAAGAAACTTCTAAACAATACAAAGAGAATTAGAAGTTGGAATGTGGAGTGAGCAAAGTGGTTGAGTTGGGACTCCATGTTTTGCCTGTACCATGTTGGTCCCTCCAAGGCATCTGTCCACTTTATAGGTTAACACTTCAAATGGCCTGACCAAGTTTATCAAAATAGGTGTGCCCCATTGTAATATGCCATGTTTCCCGGGTTCATTCTTCTTCAGGTAGGGAGATTCACTAACATTCCACTTAAGAAGTAGCTGACCTTGGTCAAAATTGAATGCTGGCCAACCAATACTTCCCAGAAAAAATAAATAAATAAAGGGACTTCTCATAGCCACTGCTCAACTATTGGGAAAAGAGGGACAATACCCAATGTACAATCACATTCCAAACTGCAACACTAAAGCAAGGAGAGAAATCCACCTGTCTGTTGTAGAACTTACTTTCCCTCARGCCTTGAGCTCATCAAGGAGAGACAAGAAATTTCTGTCTGGTCTTTCATCCCCATGGGCTGCCCAGCCTACCCTGACAGATGAGCAATTGTCCCCACGAAAGAAGAAAGCAAAGAAGCCTTCCCCAGATCTCACCGTTCCTCATTCCAAACGTCTTGTAAGTCCCAGGGGCACTGAAAGAGTTTGTCCTCAGCCAAATACAACTTCCTGTTTCTAAGAAAGGGAAGAAAAAAATAGTTGAAAGGATTTTTGGACAGTGGAGATTTCAAGTTTCTGTAAACGCAAATGAATCAGACACATGTGGAATAAATTTCTCCGGAAGTAAGAAAAGATGCTGTGAGTTTCTCTTGCTGGACCAGAAAGTGAGAAAAGGGGAGCTGGGAAGTGAGGTACATCAGATGCTGAAAGGAGAGAGAAAAGCCATGTGAATGTCGGATCAAAGAGAGGGTCTCAGTGATGACAAGGGTCAACAATGCCCCTCCCGAGACCACTTCCTGGCTTGCTGATTACTCAGAACTTCTCCACCTCTGATGTCATAAATTCAAATAGCCTACTCCCCAACCACAACTTCCCATCTTTCCAGATCTTTCACTAGCTCCCACTAAACATCCTTCATCATCAGGTCCCTAGGTCCTAGACCACCCCACATAGGTACTTTTTCCCATTCATCTTTACTTTTCTGTCTCTACTTTTTTCCCTGGGTTGCTTAGCCTCCAAGTTCTGGCAACCCAAATATTGCCAGTACTCTTAGTGTCCTTGCTCTGTTGACTTTCTCCCCAAAACCTCAACCCCAACTTGACTGGTCCAGTCTTTAGAATTGATCCTTACCCCAAAGTTGTTGACTCCCTGTACCTACAAGATTCCAACATGCCAAAGGCTGTTCTCCTTAGAGACCTGCTGCTTATATGCACACAACCCAGCATAAGATTTACATCCTCTTCCCTGGATTTTCAAAGGTTAGGAAGAGCTATTCAGATGCCACTAATACCCCAACATTTTCCAAGGCATATTCTTGTCTCTTAGGGCAAACCCATCCCAGGGCACCCATCCCATTGACTTTCTCTGTCACTCAACAGCAGAGCCCCACTTTGGGCACATTCCACTCTCTCCTCATACTCATTATTATTATGCTAATGAGAAGAATTCATACCACTGGAAAAATCATATCATGGAGCACAGATGTGTCAATATAAAGTTATGGTGTCCAGTGGAAACTCTATGCAGCAACCCAAACAAGGAGCTCTCTCTCTAACTCTCACATAAACCATTTTCCATTTTCTCCACTCTCCTTAAGTTCATGATGCTGCCACATTTAACTGAGGGTATATGACTTCACCTCTAATACTTAGTGGACCCAATAACATATCTCTAATCATAGAAGACATAAGGGACACAGTCACTGTTAACAGACCCAGTGTAGACACCAATCCAGAAGAACATAATTCTACCTTATTTTGGATTCAGGAAGCATATTCCAATCTCTGTCAAGTCCATAAAAGGGTGAAAGTCGAAAGATTATTCCTCTACCCTATTCAATTGATCCCTTAGGTCTGCTGATGGGCACAGTCAACCTCCAGGTCTCCACCATGGCCCGGCTCCTCCAACCATGATTCTCCTTGACCACTCTGTTCTCCACCATTTGCTCTGAGTCTGCACTTGGCTTCTGACATTATTCACCAGACATTCAGTCCTATACAGATTCATTGCTAGATGGAGATGGCTATTCAGATCCTAGGGATGAAGGAGGAAATGCAGAAAGCCTTCACAGGGACAGGAGAAAGGACAATGAATCTTGAAGGATAGACTTTCTGCAGTGCTGACCTTTGCCTCCTGAGAGCTTATCTCTGGCACACTGCAGTTCTGAAAGGATATCTCCCTCTTCTCCATCTTGGGTTGTATTTCTAAAGACCCCCTTCTGTTTTCCTACCCTACAAATGTGCCAAATAGAAAAAAAAAGGATAAGGAGGAAAAAGAAAAACACCTGCCCCATGAGGTAATAAAAATCATCATGCAAGAACTCTGTCCATTTCTTGCCACCAGTCTTACCTGTAGTCATATCCATCCTTTTWAAAAAAAGTCTACCCTTTTCCCTTCTCTTTCTGTTTTGTAGTGAGATATTTTTCCTACTATCAAAATAT